ATTCTCGATCTGGTGCTGCTTGTAATTTGAACTGCTGGTGTACTGTGAGTTAAGTATTGTCTTGGAGGGTTTTATTGTATAATAATTGGCAAGGATTTGTTGACCTGTCTCTGGTCACATTAGGGCGAGTAGGTCATTACAGCTGGCTCCCACCTCGGCCCTGAATGCTTCTCTGCATTTCCCATTGCACCGGAAATTCCCGGCGCATCGAAAAATCTCCAGCAGAATCATCGTCATCAGCGCCAGTAGATACAGACTCCAGTTGCAGTGTAGAGAAACGACTGCAAAACTCGAGCCCAGCTGATTGTCGTGACTGAGGTGAAAGACCCCACGATCACCCCGCAGTCCCTGATTTACGGGGCGCTCGGGCCACATGACGCGGCGGAGGCAACCCACGAATGGCACCGCGCTAAGGCAGGTACGTCAGAGAGCGACGAGGGAAGACATACTACCAATCTTTAGTTGGCTTGTCACAGAGTTTGTCGTGACGGTCTTAATTTCTCTCTTGCACTGCTGTATCTGTTGCGACAGGCAGGCAGGCGTAGTTACTTTATGTTAAACCCATAGTAATTGTTCCTACTAGCACTAGACTCGCGGTGAATGATGTCGAGCGAGATTGTAATCTTCTGTCATGAGCGAGTAATCGAGTGAGACCGTGTTAGTTTTGCGAGTCTATGCACCCCCTCCGTAATCAACACCATCGTGGTCATCGTGACAACGTAAAACTCGTAGAATAAAACTTCGCCTTTTTATTTTCATCTCGAAGACCGAACGTAGCGAGAGGCCCACGTGGCATCAGCGGAGGGTCGGCGGTCGGAGAGACCATAGTGGGCATCCACCAAAAGATAGCCCAACACTACATCCCAGGACACGATGAAGCGCAAGCGAAATTGGGGCCATGTCAAGAGGGAGGGGTTCCCCCCGACCGACAACACCACCAGCAGGTGGGAGTGAGGGAACCGAGCGACTAAACACCAACGCACAAGTTGGCCATGAGCGACAGTAGGGAGCGACACAACAATAGTGAGCGAACAAACATCATGAAAATGATGAACACGGAGGAGCGTAGCGACTACCATAATTTCATTCGAGGGAACCGAAAATGGAGTAAAACACACGGCATGAGGAGGGTTATCATACTTTTGGACTCGATCACCTATACCGCACCTTAAAGGTGCGAAATAACTTTGGCATAGGTGATACTGTGACACACGTAGCCAGATGAAGTCAGAGGGGAACGGAGGAACGTAGTTCCCGAGACGAGCCGGTTTGTAGGGAGCGAGAGGTGTGGAACACCAATAGCGACAGTGCCAACAGGTGGAGGGAGGGGACCGACCGGAAGCAAGGTCACATGGGAGAGCGAACAACGTGAGCGAATCACAACTTGGCCGTACAGATGTACGGTCAACACGGTGGAGCAGGCAGGATATGCGACATATATAAGAGGGACTCTTCATCCGGGACGGACAGACAAGTAGGAACTCGAACTTGTACACCCTTTTTTTACTTTCTCGACCAAGAGGGGGGATTCGACCGTTAAGTGAGCTTGCAAGCGATCGCGAGAGTGTCGCCGTTTTCAGTTACGTCCGGTAGACGCACTGTATTTCAATCACGGACTGTGGTTGATTATGCCTCGTGGATCTAGGCATACCGCTGGGTATTCTGCCCCTTCCGGAGGGAGGGCGCCCATATTTACTTCCTCTGGTATGTGTCCCTACGCTCATCCCGGCACTTGGTGACGGGTGTACGGTTAGTGTGTCTGACGGAGTGACCTTCCTTAGATTGCAGCGCATCCGAGGACGATGATAGTCCAAGTAGAAGCATGAAGTCTTTCATTGTTCCCGACTCGCATGAGGTGCCTCCTTGGGGACATCAGTCCCTCGAGGGTGTAGCGCCCGAGATTTCCGTAGGTACACAACCGTTGTTGGATGACATATATGACCGAGCCGCCGACGAGGGTAGAGTGAAACGGAAAGCAGAGCCCCGTAGTATCGACATGCCTCATGTCAAACGGGTTCTTCACTATGGAGGCGGATGTCCTCCAGGGTCTCATCGTGAGATGGATGATCTGCAACCTATGCTTCCGCAAGTGCGGGATACGGTGGCGCAGATGAAGGATTGTCTGCTCTATCGTCAGACGTTTCTAGGCTCCTTAGAAAAGGGTACTTCGCATTCGCGTGACCACGTGGATAATGGCCGTCTTTTGTATAGCCCCGTTACATCCGGGCAGGATCGGGCTGAGCCCACCCACCAAGCAGAGTTGTCTGTTGGGTCTGACTCGGCTCGTTCTGTACCATCAACACATCAGGCAAGTGTTCATCCATCACCGATTCCCTTCGAGCTACGAGTTGGTCTTTTTGGGTTTCAACCCTCCTCTAGAATGGCTGCAGATTGGGAACTAGAATCCACCGGAGGAGGCAGTGCTAGCAACGTAACCGCCGACCGTCTTGAGGCCGAAACTATATTCAGTCAGGACGACGGATCGGTGGCCATGAGACCAACTGACAGTGGGCCGCCTTCCTCCAACGGGTGCGGACGCAAGGGAAAGGAGAAGATCATAGTTGACGAGTTCCACAACGAGGCTGATCTCCTCAACCGCCTAGATGATCCGTGCCATGCAAAGTTACCCCAAGACCTGGCCGGGATCTGGACGGGGGAGGGTTCGGCGACGGGGGAAGACCTCTCCTCGGGCCGGGAAGTCACCATCAGGGTCATAGACGACAGCACCGACCCTACCGGCGACCAACCCAGACACGATGTCATCACGCCACGTCTTAATTTTGCACCATTAAATGCGCCTGCAGGGGACGTCCCGGCCTGTTCGGAAGACACCATTGACCGTTTCAACGACAGCTTCAGGCATGAAGCCGCCGAGCTCAATCCCAGTGCCCTTCGAGAGACTCCGATATCTGGGATCGCCAGCGGCAGCGAGGACGACCAAATGAGAGAGCTGGGTAAGTATGTCCTGCGCTGGTCTGTTTCATTACCCATGTAAATGCTTACTATTCGATTGAAAGAGTTCATGAAGGCAGTGTGCCAGCTTGATGTCCTTCCCAGTGAGCCAATGCTCGCTGCGCGGTTTAGGCAGTATGACGTCCTCCTAGATGTCTACCGACCAGCCCCCGTTCCAATCCAGCAAGAGAACCCGGAGAAGATCTTGAAAGAGCTCTACGGCGAGGGATACGACGAAATCCAAAGCCTCTTCCTTGAAATGGACGAGACGATTCATAGCATTGCATTGACCACATCTGCTGCCATCCATTGGTCTACCCAGGTCGAGATTAAATGGAAGGCATTTCCCAAGCATCCAGATCTGTTTTCGAGGATGCAACATTATGTTGCAGACCCGCTTATCCGGAAAGATTGGGAAGGGTTGTCCGTTACGTCAAGTAGGGTCAAGAAATTGCATCGGAAACAGCTTCTTGAAACACTTGCCGCTCCCCTCGCCAAACTCGAGCGCCTTTTTAAAGAGCGCGCGGGCGGCGACTGGGCGGTCACTAGCGATATCACTGGCTCTCCATTGATGGTGGGCTGGCCATTACGTGAACAACACTCATCCTCGGCGGTAGATGCGCGATCCCGCAATAGCCTTCCGGATGATAATGAGGAGACCACGTTCGGCATTCATGAGAGGGAGGAGGTTCCTAAAGAGGACCTGAAACCAAACGGAAAGTCTCGAGGTATGGTTTTCAGCGGCTAGGCCAGTGCATTTCTGACATGACATTTTGCAGGGATTACCAAGCTTTTGCTTGAGTTTGAAGAGTCACCCGGGAAAACTAGCAGCCATATAGGGTCGGGATGGCTCGTGGACAAGGACACCATTGCCACTGTGGGCCATTGTGTCTATGACAAGAACTACGGTCGACTTGTGGCCGTTCATGTCGTCGCCGGATACGAGACAGACAGCCGAGAAGTACGAACGGGGACGCACGCCGTGGTTCACTGGGACTGGTATAAGTCGTTCTCATCCAGTCACGACCTCGCCTTCATCCGGCTTAACCAGCCCTTCGAGAACACTCGCCAGATCCCCTACCTCGATACCCCGTCGAGGGGCATCGACATGCCTATCAGTGCTTATGGCTACCCGAGCGACTTGTCGTGTGGCGAGCGCATGCATTACAGCAAGTGCAAAGTCTCGTACAACTTGACTGAGACGGCGGGGATGCTCGAGTATGATCTTGACACCGCCGGAGGTAATCGCTTCACTGAAGACGTATTTGCTTGTTTTTACTGATAAGAGAACAGGGACCTCTGGCGGTCCAGTCTGTGACCGCGATGGAAAGGTCATTGGTGTCCACCGGGGATGGGGCTGGGCGAAGGGCCGGCACCGACGCAGCAAGAAGATCAACAAAGCCGTCATCATCGACCAGGGCGCAAACAATGTAGGGGCATTTCTTCATGTGCTCAAGTATATGGCCACTGGAGGTAGGGAGGCGGGCCCCCGGGTGGTCCTCAGAGCCATGAACGCCGCGAAGGACTTTCATCAATACACTGTTCAGGAGTAGGGGAAAAGGGGGGAGGGTTACTTCCTTGTGGGGAGTACTTTGTTCTGCTAATTTGAGGCTGTTTGGTGCGAGTATGGCTAGATTTGGCTTTAAATATAGCTGGTTCGTGAGATATCCAGTCTGAATTGCATCAGGTCTCCTCGTGTCCATTGCGAACTTCATCGCCGCCTGCGCCGCCTGTAGGCCGGGCGCCCATTTTTAGCTATCCGAAGCTGCCTTCCTACAGAAAAAAGTACGAGAGGGCGTTTTCATCCTGGATAAAGTTGAGGGAAAGGAATGATATCCACAACTGCCAAGCCCAGGGTGTAGTCTTAAATATATTGTTAGGGTAGGACAAGGACCCAACGCCATCAGTGCATTCCCAGTATGGCCACATGTAGTCTAGTCGCGTAGGGAGTGTTGTAAGCATCGTGGCTCGACACTACGCATGCATGATTCACCAAATTAAGAGACACGTTCTTAAATGCAATATGTGGCACCTGCCTGCATCAAATAGGATCGATAGCTCAGTGGTAGAGCGGGAGATTGCAGATCTTCAGGCCGCGTGTTCAAACCACGCTCGGTCCTAAATCTTTTCTTTTTGCGTTTTTCCACGAACATATATTTCCTAATCTTATGTCCGTCTCAACACTGGACATTGCTCATTGTTCAATAACCAACAAATACTCATTCATATAGGGCACTGGGTCACATTTTTGGGCACGCGCTCGAGCGCAAGTCGTTTTTTGGTGCCCACATGGCTGGTTTCTTTCCCAGCTGATTGAGGCATCGCAAATGGTTGGTTGGGGCAGCAAGGCATGCATGATGCAGTAGAAGCTCTAGACATTTTGAGTTATTGTTGCCTTGAGCTTGAGTATTGGGTCCATCATACTGTTAGTTTTTTTGTACTCACTGTTCAACCATTACCCCTCCTATGGGTGTGTGCTATCTAGGCCCTAACCTCTTGAACTTAGTTCTTTTTTTCCCCAGACAACAGACTTAGGTATGCAGTCACACATAACGTAATTTACCACACCACAGTACCTAGGGCTGGGTCTCGAGGTGGAAGAGGTCGTCCACCCCAAAATGCGGGCAAACAGGCAATCTTCTAAATCTGCTTGATAGGTACGGTTGAATTTCCAGGCTTGACGAGTCTGGGTCAAAAACACGCCGAAACCTGACCTCAGAGAATAGAGGGCATCCATTAGCCCAGCGACTCAAAACCGCTGGGAGCAGATGAAGACCAACTGCACGATCATGGATTCGGGGAATTTATACAGAATGTTTTCGGCATGTCGCTTCTTCTCATTGACTGTTGAAGGAAGATTCGGCTGGACAGCTCAAAGGCTATTTGTGAAGCAGCTCAATCCATGTGTAGACTAAGGATCTGGGATGTTTAATAAATGTTTTGGGCAAATGAATTGGGCCAATACTAGATGAAAAATACGGGCTATAAGGAAGTCAGAAAGCCCGCCCTAAGTTGGAGAGTTTTGGAAGGAAATGATGGCAACTTTGGATGTGGGTGAGCGAGACACATGGCGATGTAGTGTCTGGGTTAGATAAGTTCGTCAATACTACAGCTATTTTGATCAATTCCTCTCAGACTATTTCCATTAATCAGCAGTGAGAGACTCACGAGACGTAGCAAGGTGAATTCTCGGGACCCGTTCGCCCTGGTTCGAGTTTTGACAAGTGACATCGCCATGCTGTGGCCGCTTCACGGGTTTGACAGAACTACTCCCTGGCTCCGGCGATTGGGCTAACAAAGTACCAGTCATTTCGTCTACGACTTCTGTTATGCTGGCAAACTCAGTTAACTAGGTAGACTACTTTCGATTGGGCAGCTCGTAATCTGAATCTCGTATTCCGGAACTCGGCTCGCTCGCTCTGCAGATACGGGCTGTGCTGTGATCGGCTGCTCGGACCGCTGGGGTCTCCCCCCTCGTGGGACGACGTCTTAAAAGGGACGAATTTCATCTCACGTCGCTCCCGAAATTTTCTTCTGTCTTTTCTTCAGGGCTGATGAGATTCCGTGCCCTCGATAGAGCGTCGGCTTGTCGCTGCGCGGCTATCGCGAGCTGAAACACTGGGCATGAGGCAAGTCTACCATGCGATTGTTGCTTACCTGACGAGGCAGGATGCTTCAAAGTGTTTTCGTCACCAGAAGTATGATTGCAGTTCGAGGCGACGCATGTCGAAAGGTCATCCTCCGGTGTTCAACCAACACTGGGCGAGCAGTTCGCTGCAGACCACCACTGAGGCAATCCTCGCAGTGACAGGACCACGTCCAAGTTGCCTTAGAGGGTTGTGCTTCCATTGATAGGTAAGTAATTGGTCGGCGTGCAACCCGACTACTTGTGCGGCGATGAACCCACTGGCCTGCTCCAGCGACATGACTGGGGGTTATAAGCTGCCTTCCTACTAACGAAGCAGAGACGTTCAAGCCATGGCAAGAGACTAGGTACTAAGTAGATATGTCTTGTCCAATGACGGCTCTATTAGCGGATTTAAGTATCATCATGAATGGCCTTGTGTCTACTAATTTTTGAACTACGCTTTACTCAACTCTAGTACAATATCTAGTAATTTAGTGTTAGCCGACATCTGGGGACAACGAAAATGCTTGAACCCGGGAGTCCATGGCACTCGGAATTGTCAAAGATGGAAAGCCAGAAGGATCGTTGTGCAGGCATCGAGAGCCGACATCCACCGTGAGTGTAGTTGATGGGGTCAATACCTATGCACCAGCGACTTCGAGGCATGAGCGTCGAGATTAGCCACATCATAGACCGAGACATCCTAGAGTGCCAATATGCACGCCCTCAGTCTATAGACTGAACTCGACGAGGCTAGCTGCTGGCTTATCGAAGCCAGAGAATGAAGCCCAGGGAATAGTCTCGCAGTGACGACCTCTCCCAAGACCAGTCCCCCTTCATTTCACCAAGATGGATCCCCCCGCGCACGTCAACGAGCAACCCAATGGCGTGATGAACACACCCTGGGAAGTGAACATAAAAGAAGCTTTCCGACCATGTTTGACCTCTCTCTTCCCCGGATTCTGCTTGGCCCCCGGGAGTCTTTATTCTCCGAAGAAAAGCTGCTGCCTGTCGCGTGTGGATCGGGGCAGCTGCATGGCTCTTAGGGCTGACGGGCAAGGGGGGGTGTGCAGATGTGCCCGGCGGCTTGGGATTGGTGGTGGGGGGTTTGAGGCTATTGAGACGACCTGCGATGATGATGCTGTGTACATGGTCGCAATCGGTTTTGGCAGTATTGTGTACGCTGTTGACGGTGATTTCTAGGGCTACGTATTTTTCTGTATAATGCCTTGATCGTCGATCTGGGGTCTAGACTGATGCCATCGCCACGCGCTCGTCTAGCCCTGATCTTGTACCAAGCCATACAGCCTAATTCGCTTCAAGCGAACCGCAACCAAATTGCAGAGTGAGGCAAATACTCGCCGACATAAGCTGCTCCTTAATCTCCATCTCCATCTCCATCTCCATTTCCTTGCGCCAAGACATGTGTTCGTGGGAATTCAGTCGCGGCGTCAGCGGCTTCACTCGCGGTGAGATCGAGATCTCGGCCGAATAAGTGGCAGTGTCTCAGATTGGTCCTAGACACATGTTTTAAACTCTACTTCTAAGCAGCCAGGAATCTGTGTAGATGAATCGTATGTATTTCAGAATGAATATGTTGCTAACGCCCTCAACGCCTCGTTGCGCAAAGCCAATCCGGCTGGCGCTTTAAAGTACAAAACCCCCTTTTTTCCCTCTCAGTAGTCGCCTGACTGGTCGAGAAGAACCAGAATAGAACATCACGAAATCTAAGTCTCGCAACCGCGTGTTCGCGCAAGCCGCCCTTGGAAGACCTTTTCCCCTATGCCACAAAAGTACTTTGAGGGCAGGCATTGGAGCACGGCCTGAAGCGACACCATCCTTGCTTCCTCCGATAATCGCCAATGTTCTCCGGAGAACAACGCGATACATCACACCATTCAAGACAGGGCGAGTACGTAAAGGTACGCACCTTGTAGACCTGAACCAAGACCCCATTGTCCGTCTGCATTGACCACCCCCCTGAGCGGGGACTGACTTGCAGCTGGGTTCCAACGCGTGCTCTTTTTAAACACACGTTTCCTCCATCGGGCCGTCACGCCAGTGCGATATCCACACTTTATCCAACGTCCCCAGACGAACGCGCGTATTTGGGCTCAGCTACGTCACTGACAGAAACCCCCACGTCGAAATTAGATGAAGCCAAACAGGCGGCAGACAGCGTAGGCGGATAGGATGGCAATGAGCAGGGTGATAATGTAGCGGAGGGCGACGTTGTACATCTGGTTGCGGTTGCGGCGGCGAGAGCGGCTCACAAAGTCGGAGTTGTCGTTGACGTTGGGGAACGAGTAGCCCTTGGGGACGGGCTCGCCGAGGAACTTGCACAGAGGGTCCCAGCCGTCCTGGACGCGGTACTCGAGCAGGTTGTCCTCGGGGACCAGGGCGCGGATCTCGGCGTAGTGGCGCTTGAAGACGTCCTTGCCGCGGTTGGGGAAGTCGCCCTCGAAGAAGGTGTCGAAGAACTTCTTGAGCATGGGGTAGTACATGCCGGCCGCCCAGTCGAAGTTGGACAGCCAGCGGAGCTCGTGGTCAGTGACGCGCCAGTAGACCGTCTTCATGGTCGAGGCGTGCCACGAGTCGACGTCGCGGTTGGTGAGGACGACCTTGGCCTCCGGGTAGGCCTCGATGAGCTCCTTGGCGAAGGCGATGGCCGGCCAGTCGCACACGGCCTGGGAGCCGCCGAGGAGCTGGTCCCAGTCCTCGCGGGTAAAGGGCTTGCCCTTCTTGTCGTACTTGGCCGTGAGGGCGTCCATCCACATGAGGGCGTCGGGGGGGTTCTCGATGGAGCAGTTCATCATGTGGTATGTGTCGACGTAGCCGAGCTGCTTCATGGCCGCGCGCATAGCTGGAGGCAAGCAGAGGTTAGTTTTGCCGGGGCTTCGAAGGGGCAGTTCGAATTAGAGGCAAGTGATACTTACAAGCAGTGCCGGTGCGGCCAACACCCAGGATGAGCACCTTCATGGGCACGGAGCGGGTGCAGTTGCGGCGGTTGATGTCGGTGTCGGCAGTGAAGAGATCGGTCTTCGGCCGGGGCTTGTAGGAGGCGGAGTAGGCCATTGTGAAGGGTATTGACGGGGTAAAGAAGAACGAGGAGAGTTTTGTTGCGAGAAGCAGGGTATCAAGTAGGAGCAGGAAGGGATGTAAGACAAGAGTGTAGATCGTAGGATGGGGTAGAATGCAAGACCAAGAGACAGGAGCAGACACAGGGAGTACAGGCAGACAAGAAAGGCTGGTTGGTTTGATAGACTGATGAAGAGAAGAAAGAAACACTCGAAGCAGATGTCGAGGCAGGTTATATGAAGGAAAAAAAGGTCAAGACAAACGCCGTGCGGCTTCCCACCGCCACAGAGCATGTTCCCGGGAGTCACTCACTGTACGCGTCTCCTTGTCTCCGTCTCCCGCAACGAACCCATCCCCGTCTCTCTTCCCACCCCGGCAATGCAGAGTCGCGAGACTCGTCACTGATTAGGGACG